CTACTCTGGCTACCACAGTAGTCTACTGACTACCATAACAAAATACCACAGGCTGGGTGGCTTAAACAACAGACATTTATTTCCTTACAATTTTGGAGGCTAAAAGTCTGTGATCAAGGTACTGGCAAATGCAGTTTCTGGTGAGGGCTCCCTTCCTACCTTGTAGATGGCTGCCTTCTGTGACCTCACATGGCCTTTTCTCAGTATGTGTATATGAAGAGAAAATGATTGTATTCCTTCCTTTTCTTATAAGAATACCAGTTATATCAGACTAAGACCCCACTGTTATGACCTGTTTAAGCTTAATTACCACCATAAAAGCCCTGCCTCTAAATACAGTCACATTGGGGGCTGAGGCTTCAATATATAAATTTGAGGTGAACACAGTTTAGTCCATGTCAAAGAGACATAAATGTTTTAAAGAAATTCTGAGAAATAAAACATAATCTCTTTGCTATTCCTTTCTTTCTGAAAATTTAAGTTTCTGGGTGATATCTTTTCCCAAGCCTAAAGAACTTGTCTTAGCATGTCTTACAGTGCAGGTCAACTGGCAAAAGGCATTCTCTTCATTTTTTTTCAATGCATTTATTTTATATGCTCCCTTGAAAGATATTTTTGCTCAATATAGAATTCTTGGTTTGCAGGGTTTTTTTTTTCCATCAACACCTAAAAATGTCAGTATTTTGTATTCTGACATTATAAGATGTCAACCATTATTTTTGTCATTCTTCCCCTTTGTATAATATGTCATTTTTTTCCTCTGGCTGCTTTCAAATTTTCTCTTAATCTTTGGCTTTCATTATGCTATGGCATGGTCTTCTTTGGATTCATCTTTCTTCAATTTGTAAGTTGATTCCTTTCACCAAGTTTGGGAAATTTTCAGCATTTAAATTTTTTTGTTTGTTTCTTCTCCTCATTCTCTTCCCTCTTACTGTGACTCCAGTTCCACATATATGGTACCTTTGGCTATTGTCTCCCGTGCACCTGAGAGACTCGGGGTGTTAATTTTTTCAATGTATATTCTTTCTCTCCTTTCTCTCTAAGTCTCCCAGTCTAAGTCTCCTTCTCACTGCGGATACTTTTGTTTGTCATCTCCAATCAGCTCTTAGGCCCATCTACTATATATTTATTTCAGATATTATATTTAATCAATACTATTACATTTCCATTTTTAATAGTTTCTTTCTTTGCTATTTCCTCTCTGTTTAATAACCATGAGAATATTTTCTTTTACATCTTTAAGCATTGTTAAATTACCTACTTTAAAATTCTTATCTTCTAACACCTGTGTCACCTCAGATTTAGTGTTCACTAAGTGGCTTTTCTCTTAAGTATGGATTACATTTTCCTATTCCTCAATATGTACAATGATTTGGGGTCATAATTTGGACATTGTGATTGATATATTCTAGACACATTGTATTATTTCTATTTCTGTTTTGAGTATTGATTTTTTGGTTTAGCAGGTAGTTTATTTGGCTGAACTCAAACTTCAAGTTTCATTACTCTCCTGTGATGAATATGTCCTAAAATCTCTGTTGCATTATTTTACCCTTAGCTGGACTACTTATGGTGTTTCCATGCACATGTAATTGGGAGATTATCCAGAAATCAGGGTAGCATTTATAGGCACAGTGTTGCATTCCCTTTCTATGGCTCTCTCTTTCTGACATCCCCTCCACGACTTACTTTGTAGCTACTATGGTTGCCTTGAACTCTAACCTCTCATTTCTTAATCAGAAAGACTGTGTATTTCTGTCTAAGTATTAGTTACCTTGCATGGCACTGACTGGGGTCCACCCATGGGCAAAAATGTATAAAATCAGGAAATATACAAGGTACTGTTTTTTCCTTCCTTGTGTCTATTCCTTTCCAGTTTCTACCTGGTTTTGGCCACTTTCCAGTGTCTTCAGAGAACTATTTCCTGTATTTTGGTCAGCGTTTTTAATTGTTACAAAATATGGCTCATTCATTCATTTATTACAGATGTCAGGCATTGCTCTGATTCTGAGGAGTGGAAAATAATGATGCTCTTGCTTTGAAAGAGCTCAGAGTATAGGGTAGGAGACAGACATATAACTAAGGATTGTAAAACAACTTGATAGATGCTACAGTAGAGCAAGGATAGAAAATATTTGTGCCTTATATTCCCATTGACAGCCTGTGATCTTTGTCTGCATTTCCTGTTCTCCATGCCTAGTCATCTCCCTGTCCTTCATACATTACCACATTTTTCTTAACTTTTCATCATTTTTCTCTCCAAATCAGAATAATTTTTATGACCTTTAATAAGAGTATAAACGCTTATGACATTCAAGACACACTGTCTGCGTTTGCCTTCTTTGTTCATCCATATTTTCACCAGTTTACTAATTCTGTAATTTAACATACAGTAATCCTATGACCAATGTATGCCCAGCACAAATAGATACAAATGTAAAGTGTGGTAAGTGCCACCAAGGAGAAGTACATGGTGCTATCTATGCTTTTCCTGTGGTTCACTCATCCCACATTTATTCCACAAACCTTTATTGACCACCCATGATATCCAAGCATGAGGCTAAACCAGTCTCTTACCATTCAAATCATTTATGTCTTTCCATCTTCATGTCTCTACTAACCAGCCTCCTTTCGGTCGTGCCTTGCCTCTAGCCCTTTACTCCTCCAAACTCTACCTATTTTTGGCCTTTCAGCTGAAGCTTCGCCTACTCCAACCATATGATAATTGACAAATGATTGATCTCTCGCTTTATGCTACTATGCATCATAACTATTTCTTATTTTTCAGTGTATCTCCAGAACGTAGGTGCACAGTTCCTGGCAGCACGTTAGGCATTTAGTAAATACTAAATAACTGCATTCATGCTTACACCACACATGCTAGGTTCTAGCTTACTCCTGGAAGCTCATTTAAATCTCTCTTCTCTGAACTCCTAAAGCACTTCCCATAAAAATTAGCATCAAATCAAGTAATGCCTTTAATTATCCATTACTGTTCCCAGTGAGTTTATCTTAGTGCTCGCAATGGATTGCAAACTCAGGGGATCCAGAGTGTGATGAGGATATGCTTCATCACTGTAATGCAGAGTTGAACCCGAAGGAGATAAATATTCAATAACTGCGTGTTTGTTTTTTCTTTTTCATTGAAATGATCTGTGTCTTTTATATCATTTTGAAACATTTCCACAAAAACTGCACCAGTGGTATTCAACAACTTATACCTGGAAGTTCAGTAGACAATATGACATGGTGATTAAGAACAAGGTCTTAAAATATAGGGACCTCAGTTTGAGACCTAGATTTGTCATACTTTTCTGTGACGTTGGGCAAGATATTAAATCTCTTTGATCTCAGTTTCCTCATCTCCATAATGAAGAATAGTATCTTCCTCATAGGAGTGCTGTAAGGAATAAATGAAGTAATGTGTGTACAATGCTTAAGTTAGTACTGATGTATGGGAAATGAGTCAGTATATTTCACATGATATCATTTATACTACTGCTGGCACTATAGTAGTGTATTAGTCTGCTTTCATGCTGCTGATAAAGACATACCTGAGACTGGGTAATTTATGCAGAAAAGAGGTTTAATGGACTCATAGTTCCACGTGGCCGGGGAGGCCTCACAATCATAGCAGAAGGTGAAAGGCACGTCTTACATGGCGGCAGACAAGAGAGAATGAGAGCCAAGTGAAAGAGGAAACCCCTTATAAAGCCATCAGATCTCATGAGACTTACTCACTACCACGAGAACAGTATGGGGGAAACTGCCCCCATGATTCAGTTGTCTCCCACTGGGTCCCTCCCACAACATGTGAGATTTATGGGAGCTACAATTCAAGATGGGATTTTGGTGGGGACATAGACAAACCATATCAAGTAGACCCACTTAGCTTCCTAGAAATCCTGTTTAAAAGGAGGCCATGGAGGTTCAAAACAGTTTAGTGACTTGCACAAAGTCACTCGGCTAGTGAGATTCAGAGCCAGAACCCAACCCTGGCCTCTGTGGCTCCTGAACAAATTATCTTGTTCTTTACACAGCCCTAGCTCTCAGGAAACATGCTCAGAGAGCCTATCCCTGTGCAGCCAAAAGAGCAAGTCTTTTCCTAGTTGGAATGAAAATAAATCTATCAGAATGGTTGTTTTAGCATCCTAGAAACTCAAGTAAACATTCAGAAAATACATAGATGAGGTTCAGGAACTCAAGCACAGTGTTGCTTGGGTGTGTTATGGCAAGCAGAGTAACTGCATGGAGAAACATTTCTGTCCCTGATACGTATTTTGTGCTATTTTGTTTACAGCCACCAAGTGGATTAAGGAATAAGATCCTAGACCTGGGATTTCAAATGAGAGGATGATTGTCTGCAGAGCTCAGACATTTCTGTCGTTGGAGAGCTGTGTTTCCCATGTGATGATTGTTCAGTCAGGAGAGTTTCTCCTGACAGCTCTGGGGCATCTCATTTTTTTTTTTAACTGAGGGTTTCAAAAAAAATTTTTTTTAATGAGGGTTTTTTCAAAAACCCTCATCATAGTCTCTTTCATTCAGCTTCTCCATTAGTAAGACACAGTGAGTAATTCGAAGTTTGACATTACCCAGGGATGACAGCCTGGATCAAGAAGGGGAAATGATGTGATCCAGAAAAGATTAGTGCTTTTAACACTCAGACCCCCCACCATTTGACATAAGTTACCCTTTCTTCCTTACTCCTCATTCTTGGACCTGATGCTAACCTATTGCTACCAGTTTAGCCTTGGGAATTTCATTTCCTTTTGCTCTTCTCTCTAAACTTCTTTGTTTTATATATTTAAGAGGCTAGCACTAGGTTAATCAAAGCTAAATTTCTTTTAGCTGAGGCACTCTTGCTACATTGGCATTTTAATGTTCTTGGATCCCGTATGGACAAAGAGTTGAAAGAAACATACTCATTTTAATATAAATTTTTCTATCTTCTACATAAATTAGAGAAGCTATAAAATTGACCCATATCTCTTATTTTTCAGATAGACCACATGGTAGAAGGCCATGCTGCTTTTCCAGAACTACAAGTAAAGGCCACAGCCAGGTAACTGCTGTCTCTGTTCCATCTAAAGTTTTCCTTGTGTGACTGCATTGAGAGCATTTATGTTGAGCAGTTGGGTGATTTTCAGGTCCTACGGACAATGAAAATGCCTTTAGTGCTTGAAAGATAGTCATCTGGATGATCCAGAAGGTCCATGTATTAATTCTTTAAATGATATAAGAGAACTTAGAGAACCTAGAGATTCCCCAAGGATATACCCAGGGACTATGGATAAGAAACTCTGATGTAGAAGGAGGACCATGGATTCTGGAGTCAAAACTTGTTAGTTTCACATCCCAGCCTTACTCCTTAATAGATATAGGACCTTAAGCTAGTTACTTAACCTCTTTATGCCTGTCTCTTCATCTGTAAAACTGAAAATAATAACTGATACGGAGTGATTTCTAGAATATTTTGAAGCAAGCCAAGTGCAAGAAAGTATTTACAATATACTCCCTTTCATGTGAAAAGAAAGACATAAGAAAATAAATGTGTATCTATTCATTTTTGCAAAAGACATACAGGAAGTGGCTAGGCGCGGTGACTCACTCCTATAATCCTAGCACCTTGGGAGGCCGAGGCAGGCAGATCATGAGGTCAGAGTTCCAGACCAGCCTGGCCAACATGGTGAAACCCCATTTCTACTAAAAATACAAAAGTTAGCTGGGCGTGGTGGTATGTGGCTATAATCCAGCGGCTCGGGAGGTTGAGGCAGGAGAATTGCTCAAACCCAGGAGTTGGAGGTTGCAGTGAGCAGAGATTGCGCCATTGCACTCCAGCCTGGGAAATAAGTGAGATTCCATCTCAAAAAAAAAAACAAAAAACAGGAAGTTTAAACCAGAAAATAATAAGATTAGTTACCTACAGGGGATAGGTAGGAATAGGGTAGAAAGAATGTGGGAATGGGACCATGGTAGTAGGAAGAAATGACACTTCTCTGAGTATACCTTTTTATATAACTATAACTCTTAGAATCATTGTGATGCCTCATGTCCCTGATACCCCGATAAACAGATGATAGATAGATAGCCAGGATATGTGTGTATGCTGGCGTGGGCAAAATGAAATGCACACAGTAAAAACTGAAACTCCTCTATTACAAACGGGGTTGGGAAAAGAAAAGAACAGAACCTAAGTAACTTTGGGAAATAATATTTTAACTATATGCCATATGGCTAAATAAAAAAATAACCATCCATAAATATTATATTCTAATTGGTAAATTTGTTTTTCATAGGTATATATGTTAGCTATAGTGACAACTCTTTATGTGTATGCTACAGTTGAGCGAAGAAATCAATATATTGTGGATAATGAGAGCCAAGTTCCTCACAAATGGGAAAAGGAAAAGGTTAGAATGAACCTTATGGTTTCAGTATCAACTTATGATTTTATATTTATATATATATACACATACACACACACACACACATACACACACACACAGCTGGATATAAATATAAGTAAATATAAATACGTATATTCATGCGTGAATATACATGCATATACTCCCTAGCTCTGTCTGCTGAGATGGCCTGGAAGCAATGGCCTGATAGTAGCAGTGTGTGTACCTAGCTCACAGGTACTGGATTCTAAGTACCATTCTCCCTCCCATTTCTCCAATAAAAGTAATCAGGACTTCTTAGAAAGATGGCTGAGTCTGTGCTGGGGCAGTAAAATTATGGTGCCAGAAAGAAAGAAGTTACTCAACAAGGGATTGTTAAAGTACATTGGAACCAGCTTTAAGAATCTCTCAGTGGCCCATTTAGGATAAAATAAACAGTAATAGCATAAAATAAGTCCATAAGTAAATAACTCCATAAGTAAATTACTGAAGAAGGAAATAAATGAGGAAGAAATAACAGGTCTTCCTCTTCACTGTCAGGACAGTAGCCTTACAATTAGTAAATGTAGAAGAAATCATGGAAATAGAAAATCATCATTAGGTAAACACTACACAGATAAATGTTGTAGGCAAGAATCATAAATGGATGCTAAAATTAGTGAGTAAAAGTGGGAAGCAGGATATTTTCATAAACCCAGAGGATTTCAGCACAAGATACTAATTAAGATGAAGAGGAAAATGATAACTTTCCAGTAGTATGTAAGTATGGCAGACACCACCTTACCCAAGTGACGAAAGTTAACAACACCAGCAATAACATGTTGTGATGTCACGTATCTCCTTTTGTGATGCACCGATAAGGATACAACATCATTTCTGCCATGTTCTTGCCCAAAATGATTAAACTCAATGTAAACATGGGAAGCATCAGACAAACCTAGATTGACATCCCACAAAGCTATTAGCCAGTTTGCTCCAAAGGAAAATTAAGAAACTTAAATACTGAAGAACTGTCCTAGATTGGAGGAGACTTAGGGAGGTACCACAGCTATAAGCAATATATAATCATGGATTCAACTCTGGACCAGAAAAAGGACACTGGTGGAGGAAAACTGCTGAAATTCAAATAGAGATTAATAGTATTGTTATTTGTGGTAATTTCTTAGGTGATGAGTAAAAGCGAACCCTGTCTACCATTTTTGTAACTTGTGTAAATCTAAAATTATTTTGAAATAAAAACTTTAAAAAAATAATAAATGAATGACTTTTCATGCTGATAATGCTTAGTTGTCAGGCAGTTTAAGTAAAGTAAGATACTTTTTATAGAATTATCAGAGAAACCCAGGTAGCTAGCACAGGACAAAAGAGAGATAGTCTAAGGTGGCCGCTAATAGACTCTGAAGCCAAATTGCCTTTGCCTCAGCTTTGCCCCTTATTCACTTTGTGTGTCTGGGCTATTTACTTAACCTCTGTGCCTTAGTACCTCACTGTAAAGGGAATAATAGTAAACATTTCATGAGGTTGTTGAGAAAATTAAATGAATTAGAATAGTGAGTGACACAGAGTGATGATTAAGAGTTAAGCTGTAATAGGTGTTCAACTAAAAAATGGTAATGATAAAAGTAATTGTTGGGGAACATCACACACCAGGGCCTGTCGTGGGGTGGGGGAATGGGAGAGGGATAGCATTAGGAGAAATACCTAATGTAAATGATGAGTTAATGGGTGCAGCACACCAACATGGCACATGTATACATATATAACAAACCTGCACGTTGTGCACATGTCCCCTAGAACTTAAAGTATAATAAAAAATGAAAAATGATTGTTGTAGTTAGTATATTAGACATTTCCATTCCACTAAGTGACTTACATTCTGATAGGATCAGCACACCTACACAGAGCAGAATAAATGCATACTGTACTAAAATATAAGTAGTGCGTTATCAGGGTGTGTAGAAAAGGAGGACTGATCTTGACAAGGAGTTTGAGAAAAGCTTCATAGGCATTCCCTTTTAGGAGTCTTTAGTTACACTGCCCTTGCAATTAGTCATTGATTACAATTACCGTTGAGAGGGATTATGTCACATAACCCTATCAACTAGCATATGAGTTGGCATAGAGACCATATAACCTAGAAAAGGGATTCCTAATTTCAGATCATCAATGAACCTCTTGAAATTATGTACTGTTTTGCTGATTACATAATTCTGCGTGTATTTCTGTGAAGGGGGCCCTAACAGTCAATATTTTCTTAAAGGGATTAAGCATTTATAAACCACTAAGCCAAAGAAAATAACACTAGATTTATAGTTTGGAGACCTGGATTCAAATCTCAGCTCCAACGTGTATCATTGTGTGAAACCCATTTTCCTCATTGTAACATAGGATAGTAATGGAGAATCAGCCCGAGACACCTCTCAGGATTTATTTTGAGTTTAGAAGAGGTAATATATTTGACGAGGCTTTGTAAACTGAATTATGACAATGATGATGACCACTACTACTCTATTAGTCCATTCTTGCACTGCTGTGAAGAAATACCTTAGACTAGGTAATTTATAAAGGAAAGCGGTTTAATTGACTCACAGTTCTTTGGGCTGGGGAGGCATCAGGAAACTTACAATCATGGTGGAAAGGGAAACAAACACATCCTTCTTCACATGGCAGCAAAAGAGAGAAGTGCTGAGCAAAAGGAGGAAAAGCCCTTTATGAAACCATCAGATCTCGTGAGAAGTCACTATCACAAGAACAGCATGAGGGTAACCACCCCCATAATTCAGTTGCCTCCCACCAGGTCCCTCCCATAACACGTGGGGATTATGGGAACTACAATTCAAGATGAGATTTCATGGGGACACAGCCAAACCATGTCAACTACTATTATTACTACTAATGATTGTAAGAGGAGGAAGTTTTGGTGGTGGCTGATCTGGGTTCAAGCTGCAGACATCAGTCATTCATACCCTGCCTGCCTTCTTATGGAAAGCATGGAGGAATAGCAAGGACAGGGACTGGGAATTAGAGGCCTTGGGTTCTTGTACCTGTTCTACCCTGAATGTCTCAATGACTACTAGATTCTTCATCTGTAAATTACAATTCTACTACCCTACTTCCTTCATTTTACAGTCATTAATACGATGAAAGCAGGTCACTGGAATGTCTCTATATGTGAACATTTTAGTGTGTAGCACAAACTTAGTGAATATTTGGTTTTGCGATGACATACTCAAAACTTCCAGAACTTTCTTCTATAGATGAACTTCATTTGAGTAGCTTCTATTGCAAATCATAATAAAAAGAAGGAAGAATTTATGGATTAGCATGCAGACTCAGAGAAACAACAGTATAGGGTGGTTCAGAAGCAGTAACTTACAGAATTCAGTGGTGGAGTCAGAACTGGATTTAAATCCCACCTCTTTTCGCATAACTTCATACCCACTTCCAGCTACTTCCCTGAGTGGAGTTTCTCCAAAGTATCGCCTATACTCTTGGTCTCTACTTCCCCACTTTCTACTCCTTCCTTGCCCGCTCCAGTTTGAATTCTGTCACCATCAACCCTCTGAAACATTTCATATTAAGCTTATCAGTGACCTCTATTTTGCTAAGTCCATAGGATGTTTTTTTATTCCCCTTTCTTGAGTTCTCAGCAGCATGG